ATGACAAGGTACCCCTTTCTCCGAGAGTACATGCCACACCAACGGGAGGTCTTTAAGCCTCCACATGTACATCAGTCCCCGATGAATCTTCAGTGGTGGTAAAGAGTGTTTAAAGAACGCGTTACAAAGTAAAGCAACTCTATTGTTATTGGCGGAATGCCCAAGGGAACCGAGCTTATACGAAGAGGGTTTAGAGTTACAGACCGATCCCTCGGGAAAACAACCACCCCCACGTTTAGTCTTTATTGAAAAAAAATATCAAAATTTACATTTTAAACAGCAGAAGACAGTAAAATAACAAAATACAATTTTAAAGGTAACTGCACGATATACATGCATGCACGTAAACATAATACAAATATACAAAGCAAATATAATAATAATAAAAAAAGGGGGTATAAGAGATGAAATAAAGAAGATACATATTCCCACTTTCTTACAAATACATAGAAAAAGGATAATAATAAAAGTATCCAATACAAATGCACCAAACAGACCAAGATAAACCTCGCAATTTTGAACCATGGTCAAGTGATGATGACGACAATTAAGCTGGCATTTCCCTTTATAAACTTCCACACCTCGTCAATGGGAAGACTTTCAACCTCGACAGATTTAACGTGCATCAGACCTTCTAAGCGGCGGTTCTTCTCAGTGGCACCAGGGCTCAAACTCATGACATTCCGACCACGAGTTTGTATCATGATCCTATAGCTATTACGGCCCTGCGACTTCAATCGCACCAGGTCTCGAATGTACAACGCCGACCAACAGTTTCTGACTATCACCACTCGGTCATTGCGGCTATGAATTGATTCTGTCAAGAACAATTTTAGAACTTGTGTACAACAAAAATAGAAAGAAAAATTTTTCAACACATTGAGAATGACTTTTTTTTAAACAAAACATATTTTTTATGTACTTCAACATTTCCTTAGAATATATAATGACAGCTGTTTAAATTTCTTGATGTTATTTAATTCCGGAAAGGATATCCTCTCTCTTAACGAGGGAAACGTTACTCTTCATTATAAAATACCAATAAACCTTTTTATAAAGAAGTACTCCATTTGCGAATCAATCACAAAAAAAATCATTAATCACCATCTGTCACATTTGTGAATTGGCGAAAAAAAATTAATTAAATCCAAAAAGTTCCAGTTCACACACATCCGGCTTCTTTTTTTAAAAAATAAAGATAATTAATCATGATTAAGTAGATATTTTTCAAGTCATTAATACAAAATGTCAAGAAATTATACATTAAAGGAAACATAATTTATGTGGCCGTAGGGCTTTAATTTATTTTACATTTCCTGGATTAAATACAATCTCGCAAACGCGAATCCGTTTTCCTCGACGAGTCGGAATCATAGAGGTTAGTTTTCCTGAATGTCATCTTTCTAGCAAGGAGAGTATTAAAGTAGCGAAACCACATGTACAGAGAAGTTATCACTTCGGTCGAAACGGAGGGGAAATTTCACAAATGGAGTTCTCGTGGATTTTCCTTGTTATTAATTGACTCAGAAATATTTTTCGACGTGGAACTTTTTTGATAAAATTAAACTTGTGTGTTCTTTTTTAATGCTTAAAACGAGTGAATTTTGTTTTTTGAATCAATAAAAAAGCAGAGATCAAAGCTTTATTAAACAAAATCAATCACGCCTTTATAAAAGATCTTTTGGACTAAAATTTGTTTTAAAAAAGACAATAAATCGCGAATTGAATTGATCCAATTATAATTCAGGACTAGAATATTTTTTTAAGGAACAAATTAAGTTTTCAAGATAATTTAGAATAGAGCTGGACTGCTGTTGAAATTAATGGCCCTGTCAAGTCTTGTCTTTTAAAACTATTATATAGCATCTCAAATATAGTTAAAACTTTTCTTTTTAATTATTACTGGCAATTTGCATCATTTTTTCTTGATAAAAATTTCGTTTGTTTGTTGTTGTTGAGTAAGTGAGTGAGTGATGTGTGTTAAGTTTGCATTGTAAAGCAAAATGGTTTGCTGTTAAAGTAATTTTAATATTAAAATTTCTGGTTGAATAGTGAAGTATTGATAAGAAAGAAAATATATAAAATTTAATACTTATCTAATTCATTTTCATGCACGTTCATATCAAAGAAAGATTTTACATCAATATATGTGTTTATCCTATTCACGCACAGGGGAAATTTAGTGCGTCTTATGATTGGTGCCAAAATTTTATTAAAAAAAAAATTTCTTTAATCTAATTTTAATCTATAGATACAGTACTAGAATTGCAGTAATTAGAAATTTTTTTTTTTAAATTCCTGTGCTGAGTGTCACTTACAAAATATTTCGTTGAAATTTTTTTCAAAAAAAATTTCATATACAAAGAAGTTCCTTTTTTGTTTTGTGTTTGATTTTACAAGTCCTACTAATTTCATCTAGGAAAAATCAGTATTACATATGTATTATTCTCACTGGGAAAACTTCATAAGGTGACTGTAGTTACTAATAGTTGAGAAGTAGTAAAAATAAGCAGAAAAAGCCAATCGTACAAACAACAACTTACAACTTACTTAATCGCACAACTTAGAATTATCAATTTTCTCAAAATATTCTCCTTTTATGAAAAATGCATCTATAATAATATTTTGCTTATATGTAGCTAAGACTTCTCCAGAGAGCCTGAACTAGGATTTTTGAAAAAATTCCTATTATTTTCAGAGTTGCTACCAATTAAAATAATTTTCGGTATTTTTTTGTTAGAATTTCTCCATTTGATGCATTAAAGTATGAATAAATCCACTTCTAAGTAATATACTACAAATATTCTGCTTGAAGCTCTGTACAGAGGTCTGAGCTATACACAGGCAAAATATTTTTGTTATGGAAGCATTTTTCATATAAAGAGAATGTTTTGAAAATATGAAATTCTATGTTTATTTTTCGCCAAAATATTGCATTAAAATAATTTTTTATTGTAATGATGTTCTTAAAGAAATTTTATACTTGTATTCTAATCTAAGTGACACTAAATATTTAAAAAAAAATTCGTTTGTAGGCTTTTGTGAAATCACGGTTCCGAACGTAGTCGGGATACCTTATACTAAAACAAATATTTAGTAGAAAGTACTTTAATTTAAAACCATTAAAAGTAATAATTAATTTTTAAAAAATTAATTGAAGAATTACTATTATTAATATAATTGTCACATAATATAGGCTTCAGTTAAACATTTATATTACGTGTGCACTTCAAGCTATTTTAAATAAATTTTTTCAGAGAGTTCCACAGTCAAAATATCTACTTCAAACAACTAAATATAATAACGCTAAACAAATCAGATTAAAATGATTTATAAGGAAATAAGATAATATATAATGAGAAAATATTATTAATATAATGTTTACTTATATTGGGTGCTAGCTGAAATGTTATGCCAAACGCATAAAAGCATATTAAATCGTTTCCGATAGTTTTAATTATAAAATCGAATTACAAACAGCTTAATGTAACACACTAAAGCGAAATATAATTAAGATGAATTTTTCACGTATTTTCATATTGTATTTACTAAAATAACTAGTTCCATAAAAAAATATATATAAATGCTCTATTATACTTTTAATTATTTTATATGTACATATGGATTTTTTGCAATAACTGGTTTCTTGTCTTTTTTATTCGATCAGCGATCTGAGCATTTTGGGATAATTTTCTTGGTACGCAACATTTTTACGAATAATGGATTCAGAACATTTATCCTTTACTTCTTAAAATTTCATTCAGTACTATAATCAGAAGGGGAAATGTTGGCAGGCCACAAAATTGATTCTGTTGTTGTTATTTCTTACCTCAGATGGTGTATATATATAGCTCTGCTATACCATCTCCATAAAACCAAAAATCTCCAAGAAATCCAGAAATAAAATGGGATTTCTTAAGACCTCGTCAAAAGTAAAACTCAAACAATTAAGAATATAACTCGGGGAGGCCTGATAAGCCTCGCATAAATGACACTCTGGAAAGACTTTCCGGCCCTGTTCAAAAGTAAGAGACTTGATGTGGCTACTAAAAAAGCGCGATAGAGACGTCTGTTGATCCCTAGGAATATTAAGTTCGTGACACCAACGAGGTATTCTCCCAAAATACCAAGGGTGATCAGGGAGCACTCTCCAAAGTGCATTCAATTCCATCCATTTAATAGAGGAGATTTCAGCAAAAGTTAGACATGTGTCACCTTTCAAGGCTTCAGCAGTGGCAGACTTGGCTAAACTATCGGCTATCTCGTTACCATTCAATCCAATATGGGAGTGGACCCATTGAAAGTAAATAGAGGGTCTTGAAGAAAGTCGAACCACGATATTCAGAATATTCAGGCTTGTCATATCCCCAAAGTTGTTCAATGAGAAAGATGCTGTATAGAAGCACGACTGTCAGTTAAAATCCAACAAAATTGATTCTAATCCCACAAAGCAGATCTCAATCTGCTACGTTTATAGATACTGAAGCTTCCCTCTTTATTACCCAAAACTTCGAAATTAGTGGTTATGGTCACAAACCCATGGGGACGGCGTTGTCGGATCGTATGTTCGAGTTACGAAGCCACTAACAACTCGCTCTGTAGAGGCACTGATGCACCTTAAATCTGTTGATTCGAAATTTCGAGGTCCGTTGAGAGTAAACCATCTGTTGCTCCGAAGTATGATGTTAATAAACGAGTAATACAAATTTTATTTATATTACTTGCATAAGTCGATTCCTATTTAGGTCAGCAAACGAAAACTTTATTTTAGTTACTTTTTTATTAAATAATTACAATTAATATAAATATGTGTATACATACGACAGAATCACAATATTAGGAGGCAAAATGGAAAGTGATTTTCCTTGCAACTTTTCCTTTTTTCTTCTATATAGGGTGTTGGACTATTTTTTTGTTTGCTACTATTTATTCATCAGTTAAGTTTAAATATTGTAATAAAATAGTTTAGTAAAAAGGAATCACATTCTCATAGATTAGGCCATCCCAGGTGGTAATTGAACCCACGACCTTTGGATTAGAAATCTAACGCGCGATCGATTGCGCTCCAGAAATACAAAGAACAATTTTCCTTTTTATATACGGTGTCGGATTATTATTTTTGTTTGTTACTATTTATTCATTAATTATATAGAACTAATGAATTAATATTGGAGATAAAAACTGTATTAACATCAAGTGTCATCCACTACAAGTTTAAATGTGTTTGAAATTGAATAGATAAATAAAAAGTATTTTATTAACGATTGAAAATTTATATATATATATAGGGAGAGTGGGAACTAATATTAGATATAGAAAAATCAAATGTGGGTGAGCGATGATTTTGTTGTATTAACGTCGCACTACAAAGCAACTCGAGGGCTATTGCGACGGACCTCATAATTTTAAGCTTTGACCAAGTGACAAAGACGACACCTGACCTGGCACATCCTTCTCCAAATTATCCCAAGGGGAGGATTTTGAGCTAAATAGACCTAATGTGCATCAGATTCCTCTACCCGCAGATTTTCCCTAACAGTAGGTCTTGAACCCATGACACGCCGATCACGATTTCGTGACCATAACCACTATGTTACCGCGGCCATAAAAAATCACATGAAATTTACGCTATATTTTAATATTATACAAATGTGTGTGGTGATTCCACACTACATAATAAGTTATTTTTGTAAACGCCAAACCAAATGTATCTCAACCAACCTTCTCGCATATCAAGTATTTCTATAACTCTGCAATTAACTCAAGCCCGGATTACCTCCATGTTTACCCATGGACCGCGATATATGAATGTGTGAATATAATTATTATTCACTCATATAATACTCAAGATTAATTTATTATTGATTATAATCAATAATAGCCTAATCTTCTTAAAGTTGCACTTTTTTTCTTTGAAAAATTAATTATTATAATGAGTGAGTTATACATCTTTTTGAAAGTAAACACAGCAAAATATCAAGTGAAATAATCGCTGGTATTACCAAATGAAAAAGAAACGTTTTTTTGCAGTGCATTTATAATCATATTCAACATATTATTTCTTTCAGAATCATTATTCCGAATATCAAAGATTTCCCCCTAAAATATTCATCCCTTTATCTACACGCTGATTAGTCATTAAAATTCATTTCAGAGAAATTAAAAAAAAAATGTTCCATTTACTTTAAAAAAAGACGTCCATCCGCATATCTTGACGTGAAACCAGAGCTAAAAATTTCCATTAAATCCGCACGATTCGGCAGAATTGCGTACGTTTTACGTCATTTTTAAAAGCGCTCGGTTCTTCTGGGGGAAAACGAGAGGGAATTTTTGTTTCGAAATTCTAAACACACGAGCGATGAAAAATGCATTAAATAAAATTAGCATTTTCTTTGTCGCTTCCCTTGCTATCATAATTTCCTTTTAGCGTGATAGGTTAATAGCCGTAAACACGTACACGAATGGAAATACCGCTCAGCCAATCGTTGGGAGTCTTTCTTTTCAAAAATTTCCTTCGGAGCATAAGTGGCCTGAGTCATCAGACTTGAAGTTGGTTTAAGTGTTTGAATATTAACGTCTCGCTATTCAGCTACACGAGGGCTTTTGGCAACGGACGTCGTCATTTTGAACCGTGGTCAAGTGACGAGGACGATTCCTGAGCTGGCACCCCCTCTCCTAACTACCACACCACTCCAACGGGAGGACGTTTGAGCTCTCGACAGATTCAACATTCAGCGCTACACGACGGGTCTTCAGTGGTACTGAGGTTGAACTCATGACATGCCAGCCACGAGTCCGTTACCTTGACCACTAGGCTACCGCAGCCACTTGAAGGTTTGAATGAAACACCATATAATGATGTAACTCGAAATATTAATGATGAATTTAATAATCTTAAGCTTCTTTCTAGTGATAAAAAGGACAGTATCTCTATTTATCCAAACCGCCACACCTCACCATATGATTAGAATATATGATTTTTATGCCCAAGGGGAGTGACCTTACCCAGAAACCCCATCCACTACAAGCTCTCCACCCTCCCAAGGGGCGAATGAATAAGTGTTTATGATAGGTGTGTGTCACATTATAAAGCAATACAAAGGCTATTGGTGATGAATCTCGTTATTTTGCTATTTTGAATGTTGGTCAGGTGACGAAAGCAACACCTGAGTTGCTACGCTTTTATTAGCTTCATCTGTATGCAACGGAATCTTTGAATTCGATTTTTACCCACTTAACAAGGTCATATCAATTCAAAATTTTGTACACTTGTTAGGGACCGATGGCAATACAATAATTTAATAGTTTTGTTCTATTTTCCTGGTCAGGATTATTAGGATTAACGATTTCCCATTTCTCCAGATTTGGCGACTAATCCCGGATCCCTTTTCCAGATTTCGTGACTAAAAGATTAAACTACAACCTCAAGGCGAAAAAGCTCATGGTTAAAACAAACATAATAAACAAAAATGTTCTTTATGTGAAAAAGGGAAGGACGCGTCAGCAATTTCTTACTATGACACGAACAATTGCTCAGTTTTTTTTCCTGAAAATAAAAATAAATAAATAATAGTTTATAAAAAACCAAACTAAAAAACACGCTTTTATAGTGAATCGAACTAAAAAGTAAAAAATAATTCTTAATAAAAGAAAAAAAAATGACTAACGAGAAAATAAATGTCATTGTGGTAAAAGCGAGGGGTGCTTTGTACTACATTTTTACACAAACTCTGCATTTCGGAATAGAACTGGTAAGAAATAATTGTGCAACAATTGATATCCAGCATCCCAAGGGAGGAATCTCGAGCCTCGACAGATTTAACGTGCATCGCTCCCCCTGCATGGTTTGTCTTCAGCGGTACGAGGTTCCAACTCATGACACTCCGGCCACGAGTCCTTGACCCTGATCACTGAACTATCGTGGCCACTATTAGTGAAGGACCTCGTAACTTTGTACCACAACCTGCTGGGTGGCGTGGTTGGCTTGTCGCTGGCCTTCTACACCCAAGGTTGCGGGTTCGACCCCGGCCCAAGTCGGTGGATTTTCATGAAGCAGAAAATCGACAGCGGCTATGTCGTATGATTATACGGCATGTAAAAGATCCCTAGAATGTCTGTTTGGCTTGGGAGCTCTCAACAAAATTAAATCCTGGTACAGGTTTGCATCATCAAGAGCTCAGGTACCTCCCTCTGGGAGGAAACTGGTGTCAAAGTTACTTGCAGTAATTGGTGTCGCCTATATGGTGCCGCGTTAAAAAGTGACACCAGCTCCTGGGGAATGTACTAGGTCTGAAAAGGTTAAAATACCAATGGCAGCCCCATTAGAATAAAAACACTTTGTACCACGGTGAAGAGACGAGAACAACAACTGAGCTTCTACCCCTTTTCAGAACTTTGTGCCTCAACAGATTTAACTTGAATCTGTACTGTACACTGTAGATCTTCTAGGGTTACTAAGACTCGATTGCATGACTCTCCTTGTCGTACTGATTATTAAGAAGAATAGAGAAGAAATAACAGCCCCTTGTTAATTAAAAGGGGAAAAATAATTATAAAAAAACTAATTGGAATATTATTATTTAGTTTTTGGATTCCTGTTTTTAATTAATTTGTTCTTGTTAATTCTTATCTTTTTAATTGAACTGTAAATTTGATGTTATGAAATAATCGAAACAGCATGTATTATGCTTATATAAAGAATGATATATCTAAAAAAAGAGTGAGAATCTATGTTTTTAATTGTACTTCATTAAGCATTTTTTGTTATTAAAATATTCTCCCCTCTTTTATATTTCATCTCTAAAATTTTAAATTCATTACCAGTAATTACTACTTAATACATTTCTTATATATAATTAGAAAAATAAATAATTTTTTTTTATAGTATTCGGTTTTTTTTTTTTTCGTATTTCGTTACATTTATCATTTCAAGTTTAGTTCTTCAAGTTATGATAAAAAAATTGATATATTTGAGTTATATAAAAGAAACTTTCAGAAATTACTTCTTCACTATACAAGTTCTCTAACATTCTCAGAAATTAAGTTAAATGCTTTTAGATTGATCATTGTTACCATTTTTCTTTAATTTGATTAATTTTGAATAATTTACAAGTATTAATAAATTTTGTTTTCCTCAGATTTCATTAACGTATTAATCTTACTGAAAATACTTCAATAAAATAAGTAAATCTTGATTTTTAATATAATATTTATCTTTATCAGGTATTTAAAAACTTAAAAAGATGTTATAAAATGATGTAGGTTGGTTAATTGGAGTTTTTGGCCCTGAGTTTTTTTTCCAGCGATATATTGTGGAACACATAGTTTAAAAGAAATCTTTTCCAGTTAATAAATTTTTACTATATGAAGCCTAATTTCTATCGAACAATACATCTAAAACTATTTTATTCAAAATTAAATACATGGGAGGGGGGGGATAATGTCATTCAAGAAATGAAACATTTATGGTTGGGGATTTCTTCAAATCAATTTAAAATTTTCGATGTATATAAAAAGAGGACTTGTTTATCAAGGTCATTTTGAGAAAATAGTACGTACTTTTGACAATAACTAGAATCTCAATCAAATGACGAGATGATAGCTGGCATCCCCCTCTCTTTCACTTTCATATCACGACAACAGGAATACTTTCAACACGGCGAATTTTAAGTAGGCCGAGACTCGAATCCCCATTTCGACGAGAGAGTGAGAGTAATATTAGCATCGCACTATTCAGCAACACCAGGGCTATTGGCGATGAAATTTGTAATTTGGAACCTCGGTCAAGTGACGAGGATGGCACCTGAGCGGGCACCTCCCTCCTCAAACTGAGTGAGTGGATATTAACGCCGTACTGTTAAGCTACACGAGGGCTTTTGGCGACGGACCTCGTAATTTTGTACTATGGTCAAATGACTTGGATGACAACTGAGCTGGCACCCTTTTTCCCTAACTACCACACCACATTAACGGGAGGATGTTTGAGCTCTCGACAGATTTAACGTGCTCCCCTACACGGCGGGTCTTTAGTGGTACTGAGCTCGAGGTCCTGACACCGCAGCTTCGATCCAATG